TTGTATTGCGGTCTGTGGTTGCCTACATGAGAGAGAGCGGATGGGGGTTTTAATGACACCGGAACTTTCTATTTGTTTTAGTGCACTCCAGCACTAGCAAAACCAGTCGTGATATTGCACGGACGCAAAGGCGTCCATCTCCATTCTCCTAAAGGCTAACGAGCGACAACACTACGCTAAGGAGATTTCTTGTAGGACAAGAGAATATTACGCGACAAGACCCGAAAACCTTATTAGTGGTGACAGTTACACTTCCGGAGGAGGGCGGTTGACTGGTTATTTCCACTCCTGTTCCGTGCCCGTAATCCTCATCTCGAAGGCCCCACATCAGTGTAGGACTTAGCCGGCATACTTCGGTGCGCGAATTACTTAGAGGTTGTGCTTCATGTGTACTGATAGTGCAACTCCACTTCAGTAATCTTTTACATTTTACAGTGCATTTCCGGATTTCAGCCGGTGTCTCAGGAGTGTTGCTGACTGTTGTAGCGTGCTACATATCCATGCTTAATACTGAATGAAAACAAATGAATCTCTGGACAAGGCGATTTATTTAATTGATGTTTTCCGCTTGTACTCAGTGGCCACTTCGAAAATGACGGACAAGGAGAACGTATGTTTCCCACTCTGGCTCTCCGTGCTTACTTGTAGTGATCCTTTGCTGTCTCTGAGATACCGATGGGCAGCTTCAAAGTGTGAGTACATCGATTGGAGCCATATCTTCAGGACTTATTTATCTTCCGAGATGCTTTCTTTGGGCTGTCTCGACCGGCCGACTCGCGACATTTATTCGATCGAGGCTCTTATCTCACTCCCCACCCGTGATATCGAGCCGCCTCCTTCCTCCGCTCACAGCCTGAACGAGAGGGACGCACCAGGGGGGTTATGTATCCGGACCAGACCGCAGCCAGACCTTGTGTCGGCATGCGGTGTTAGTTCCGCCACGACGGCCAGAGCAGCAGCGAACGCCTAATTAGAAAGCCGGTTAGCCTAAGCCGCTCTCCTCCCCCTGACCGCCGTCACATAGCCGGATTAGCGGTGTCTGTCTCATGGACGTCCTTAGCCAGGACGCCGCTTACTCATCCTCTCCCTCGCGCGCGCTCTCTCTCGCTGTGTCCTCGAGACAGCGCCTGTATCGCAGTCCCTGGGGCCGACGCCAGCCGCGAGGCCATCAGTGTTCCCCTACACTCGGGTGCTCGCATGCGCCACGTCGGTCAGGTGGGCAAACGAAGCGCTACGACAAGCGTCGGGGGGAGTTAACCCCAGGCCAGACAATGTTCCGAACAGTCAATTCGCTCGGTCTCGTTTTCTGTAGGCTGGCGTCTATGCCGCTGTGACACCGACAAAAACTGGGATGAAAGGGGAGGTTGAGACCACCTCGGAACAGCTTTCATATACTTTGGTTTTATTCAGGTACAGAGGTCATGACTCAGTGGCGTCCGTAGGTATGGTAACAATTGCCGTATGAATGGGCGGATGGTAAAATGCTCGGTCAGGCGTAGTTATGTAGCCCCACCTGAAGTAAACAAACCCCAGCCAACTGTAATACGGGACCGATGGTAATAGGAGTTTTTACAAGTGGGGCCGGGGAACGCACAAACGACGAGGTCAAGTAGTTGTATGCGAAAGAAAAGCCATTGGGAAGTGACGGTTGTACTTTGAGTGGTTGAGAAATTGTTGCCCTAACCTCTGACCTCAACCCTAACCCCTAACCCTTAACCTTAACCCTAACCATAACCCCTGACCCAAACCCAACAGTATTGTGTCCATCAGGTGGGGCAACATGACCATATCTTACCATTTTGGGCTGTGAGGATATGAAGGACAGGGAACAGTGGACGATCTGGTGATGAAAATGATTCATGATACGAAGCACGGAATCAAACCCAATCGAGTCATCGGTAGGATAAGGCCAAAAGTGTAAGCATCGAAACACCCTTAAGGCAAAACCGATACAGGGCTCAGTAATTACCTACTGGGCAACTCCAGACTGAAATTTTATCGTGCCTATTGATTGAGAACGATCTGAAGCAAGCATATCTCGAAGAGAACTTACACCGATGTAGAAAGAATTAGCAGAGTATGACGCTATCTAAGTCACTGCCATGAATTTCCTCGGGCCGATGCAGTGTTAATGCCAAGGATGTTTCAGCTATAACCGCTAGAAAACCCAGAATTGATCCGTCAAAAAGAACACATTTCGTGCAATCTGCTGGAGGACCATAGTGCACCCGTGAATAAAGGCCTATTCTTGAGGTGCCAATGAGAGCTTCGGAGTACTGAAGAGTTAAAACTTCTCAGTACCCTCATGTTGAACATAGACGAGTATTGTGATTGCCGAGACAGAATGAATGGCTTATTTTCGCGATAAAAGCAAAAATGTAATAAATGTTTTTTCGGGATGTTATGTGTTGGTCCTAGTGACATTACCGATGCAGGACCATCAATAGGAACATATTTTGCGTGCCCTTGATACCCGTCTCTAACCTGTTAGTGGGTAACCTAAAGTCACCGTAATAATGTCGACCTCAATCTGACCCCAATTCTAAGGAAGCGGTAGAAACAACTCACTCGTCCTCAGCGGGGAAATTCAGGACTAGAGAGCATTTCCGCCGCACTCCAAAATAATCGTGGAATCTCACCTGATGGAGAAATTAACCAACCTGTTTCTAATAGAAACGAAGGGGCAAGTTCCAGGAAGTATTCGCGAAGAGTGAGACATGCTCGTGGTAACAAGAGCTTTATTGGCCCAACGTTTCGGATTCTCACTCGCATCCATCATCAGAAGAAGAGTCAGCTATCTTGCCTCCTTCTTCACAACCTGTTTCCGTAGATAACACGATAAGGAATGATTTACCAGACCTCCCCCAGGACTCAGCCGTTATTCATGACCGCAAGTGGCAGATCTACAAGCGCCTTCTTTAATCTCTTTATAGGAAATCGGTTAAATCGTATTTACTCATAGCGTGTGTTCAGTGTGAATCAAGGACGTTGGCCGCGACGTACTGTAGATTTCGGTAATGCCAACTTAACCATTTATGTTAAGTTCACTTGCTTTCAGACAATAGAACGTCACAGAGTGTGCAAACAAATACAGGACATTTGCTAATCTAATCAAAGACTTGACGCTGTAAGTGGACATTCGCTCACCCCATCTTCTCGCCATCCCCTCCCCGAATAATGAAAAGTTCAGATGTTTCCAGCGGTCAACGCACACCTGGGTACAGTTCCACGACTTAGTTATAGCTTGCGTCATATTCAACGAAATCACCGAGGTCGCCTCCACTGCGAGAAGAGAAGCAAAACTACCCTGTTTCATTGTATCATGGTACTCAGTCTACATGCTATCTTCTCATTTTTGAATGGATATCTCGAGAGAAACACTAAGCAGTGTACAGGGTGAACTCAAATCAATCCGCGCACATGCAAGCACTTTTAGACTTCCCTGAATAGGATTTATCGCATCATATTATCGAAGATTTTGCCGCAGGCAAACTCGGTTGACGGAGGCTGGAGAAAAATTCAAAAATTAAACATTTTAAAAAGTAGCTGCATTGCCCCTACATAAGCATAGGAGTGTCCCTAACACTTGAAAAGCATCGATTGAATTAACGGTCTACAATGAGAGCGGATGCAATAATTTTGAAGAAGGAGACACGATCGCCGGGACAAGAGCTTTATTAGCCTGACGTTTCGGATTCCTACTCGAATCCATCATCAGAGACAAAAAAGCAGAAACGGGTGGTTGCTGCACAAGGGGCTGCGGTATTTATAGGATCCTGGGACTCGTCTCTTCGCTTCTATTGGATGCAATAATTTTCGACACCTCCACGCGCATTTACTCCCTTACTGGCTCCTGTGGAGCAGGCGCCTATCCAAAGGTATATGGGAACGCCCCCCTGTATGGTTGGGAAAAGAGGAAAGTAAAAGTCTAAGCAGCTCCACTTTTGCATACATTTTTTTAATTCTAGGCATCATGTGGACACTGCCGAAGTCTTCTGTGTGATTTATAAGGTCCCACTAGGTCAACACCGCTAGCAACAGCAGAGGAGACTGCCATCAAGTTACAAAAGCCGGTCTTGTGCGCATAGAAAAACCAGGTACATGCTCGCCGCGTACTTCCCCTTACCCCTAACACTCACTGTCGCCTAACTCACTGTCTCTTGTTACTTCCCGCTTTTCCCACACCCCACCTATGTGGAAAGGCACATGTTTTACCTGCACTCAGCTCCCATATGTACGTACCGGTCAGACGAGGATTTGCACAGGCTGCACTATATACTATACCTGGCAGCACAGGTACTAGCTAAAAACCCAGACACGTGTTTCGCCGAAAGCTCACCAAGTGGTCTCCTAAATTTTCGAAATTGGCTGAATGAGGAAAGTCCGCTATCGAGAGGCTTCATTCGGATTGACAGATCCTCGCCGAAATGCTGCCACTTTCAGCGCTTTTCGAATGATTATACTAGAATTGCTGTGCACCCTCTCAATCACCAAAGTACAAGCACTCTAAATGACGCTTAAATTCCAACAGAAGGATGATAGAGATGGCTGTCATCGCCTGACCTACAGCATGCATTTGCTGGCATTGCGGTACGAGTGTCTCACAGTGCTTCGGGTGCGGGCATCAGGCTGACTAAGTGCGAGTGTGCCCCGAAGCTGGTACAGAGTATGCCTGCGTGACACCGGGTGTCAAGGTAGTTTCCGAGTTACATTTATCATGCAATTTTGCCTGTTGGTCTGTCACGTTGGTTTGAAGTTCCCTACACCGGCGCAGGTCTCAGTGCTTCCTACCGTGTGACTAAGATGCTTTTACTCCCTCCTGTAGTCGGCGAACGCCACCCTCCCAGTCGCAAAGCCGGAGTGCGAAACTGTGGCTCAACTAGTAGAGTGTTAAGGTCGACGACCAAATAAGTTCAGATCTGAATCTCAGTCATCTCTGTGTAGGTGTGAAGTGTGGGTGACTACGGATTTAAATTAAGCTCAAAGTTATCACTCTAGTCTCATTTATCTTCGTCCTGAATATTTATCGACGACGCTTCTCTTTCCCAACTCATCTCTTTATCCTCCTCCTCCTCCTCCTCCTCCTCCTCCTCCTCCTCCTCCTCATCATCATCATCATCATCATCATCGTCGTCGTCGTCGTCATCACCATCATCATCACCATCATCATCGTCGTCGTCGTCATCATCATCATCATCGTCGTCGTCGTCGTCATCATCATCATCATCATCATCATCACCCATCCTCCGCCTTTAGGTTCTTACTTTCCCACGTCCACTGAAATAGGATTCACAGAATCAGAAAACATATTCCTAGGACTGGCAGATTTCTGTTTCTTCTAGATAAATCGATCTTTAAGCTTGCCCGGTCTGTCTGGTGGGCATTTACTTTACAGTGACTGACGTATAAACAGTCTTCCTGGATTACTTACACAAGCAGTCTGAGAAAGAAGGGACTCGTAAGCCAGGAAAAGATATGCGTTCCAGAATGAAAACTGAATTTGAATTGTGTATTGTTAGTTTCCTCTTAAACACAACACTTTTAAGTGCTTCAGTTTAAAACGGTTAAAGCAAATAAATTAGGTTAGTAGATCACAGGGACCGCTACCCTGTTTTGAGTGTTTAGTCCGAGGGGTGTTTCTTACGAGATGCCAGAAGACTTTTAAATTGTGCTTTTTCCTTATGGGGGAAAGCTATAATTTATTGCGACAAAAATAGCCTGGCCGATTTTTCAAGTGATAACTTGTAAATAATAATCAAAAGCTTCTCATAGCGAATTACAACCACAAGTAATTACACATGTTTATTAGATAAGGCATCTGACAGTGTATGAAAGAACCTCGTGGGTGTGCAGTCTGAAAGTAATGTGGAAATTCCTCTGACTAAACACCCAAAACAGAGTAGCACAAACATCTAGGCTATGTGAGAAGCCTAGAAGACGGACGACAGTAATGATTTCCTCATTTTTACAACCCATCTCACGCATTATAGGGGATCGAAGATGTCAACAATCTGTCCGAGAGACCGCGCGTTCGTTGGTAAAAGTCCGTCTTCGACATCCCGTTGTTCCTGTTCCTTTCTACTTACGCAAACAAAAAGAGGTGACTCAAAAATTATCCGCCAGTGCCGATCGGAGTGATTTTCGGTCGGTATTTAGTGGAGAAAAAGTAAAACGGTCATAATTTTTCAGATAAATGTTCATGTAATGACGCCTGTCTATGGCTCAAGTGTCAAATTAAACTCAAATGCGGAAGCGTTCGGTAGAGCACAGGAATAAGTGATCCGCCCGCGTTACGCGCTAAATTGCAGAGGAATTAGAGTTGGTGTTAGAGCTTGGAGGGTTCAGGTAGGGTTTGTGAGGGCTGGTGTTGGGGTTGGAATTAGGACACGGGAATAGTTAGCGCAAGGCCACCTGTAGGACAGGAGCCCATGTTCCTATGTCCGGGCAAGCGTTTTTCTAGACAGGAGAGCTTGTGAAACCGGCAGTCAATCAAAGGCCTATAATCTATTCAGTAAGGGCGTAGTATGCGACCTCACTGGGAAAACTGTAGTTAATTACACCCTTGTGTTAATCGCGGCCATGCCTGTTATGGAGAACCCTAACCTGTAAGCATTTAAGAAAAACTCGAATGTAACCTTAACCTTAACCCAAACCTTGAAATCGTGATCCTGAATTACGAACCCCCAACTCTAATCCGGACTCTGTCCCTGAAGCCTTAACTCTAAACCAACAATCCCAACCCTAGCCTCAACCCCAAATCCAAACCACAGTCCAAGCCTGGCAATCCTAGCACTGGGAATAACTCAATTCCTAACAATAACCCTAACCGTAGCCCCAACCCCAGCCTGCAGCCCGGTACGGGCCACACTAACGCCAGTAAAGCTGGCGAAGCTTAAGATCCGCGTATCGCGCCACCCCCTATTCAACCTACCACCAGGCAAACAGTTATAAACCACATCTAGCTAAATAAGATAAGAAAGTGGACTGTTGAGCAACAACCCAGGAGGAGGGGTTACATACCCCACCCTCACCATGCAATCTGTGGAACCATCCCAAGAAATTCGTTTTGAAAACTAGTCTGACTGTAAAACCCTCAATTTAGCCAATGAGAGATCGTATGCTGATTTTTGCACGAAGCACTTACGAACCATTCATTGCTTTGGTCGTCTTCATGGTCCAATGGCAGTCCGCACTTCCTTGTTCTCCGCCGATTTGTCTGGCTGCCCTTCTGTCGAAGGCAGATGATGAGGGGCGGGGGGGGGCAATTTGAGTTAGAGTGATCTACCGAAAAGATGCGACCGCCGTTTCAGAAAAGAAAGTGCAGTGATAACTGATGGATCTGGCTCGGGTAGACTTTCCTACCAATGTAAAATAACATGACGAGATGCACTTTGCATTTCAGGTTTGATCACACTATTGTCTAAAACAATGTGGGTGCCGGAAATTGACGTCGTTTTTAACTAACTGCCAAAAGCGTTTGCCGGAAATTGTTTTATTTTTTTAATCCGTTATATAGTCGCCATCGTCACCAATCACTCTTGCCCATCTTGGAATGGAGTCTTTAATATCCTATTTATAAAAGGAAGTTTGTTTTGATGCAAAAAATTCGGAACCCAGTTTAAACATAATCGATATTAAAAATGGTTGTTTCGTTCAGGAAGTGTTGCAGAGATCTGAACAAAAGTGATATTCAGCTGGCACAAAGCCGAATAAAATAGGGTAGTTGGGCAAAAGTTCCCACGCAAAATGTCGGATCTTAATTTGAATCTGTCGGGCCGAATGCTGTCTCGCGTTGTTATGCAGCAGAATAACATATTTCCTACTGATTAGTGCTGGATGATTATTGGAAAGAGCTTGGTTCAAATCTTCCAGTTGTTGACAATAGACGTCTGCTGTTACAGTCTGACTTTGTTCCAGTAGCTGAAAGTGAAGTATACCTACCATGCTCCACCAAGCATATAGCAAGACTTTCCATGGGGCATGGGACTGATTTCGGCGTAGGCATATATGTCTGACTTGTGGAAAATCGTTCGTGTTTACGGTGTTCGTTAACGTAAAAAAAATCCATCTCATATCTACAGTGACGATTAGACAAAGAACTGGTTCCCTCTCCTGTCTGCCTAGCTAAAGTCACAGATTGTAGAACGTTAAGTTTTGTTTTCATTCTTAAATTAATGTGAAATCTTAATTTCTTGTCTACTGACTTTTCCTACCCGTTGTAGGTGCTCTGGAGGAGTAGACTGTGACGAATTCAATTTTCCTAGTAATTCATCGGTGATCTGTCGGGGATCTGCCTAAACGGTTGCGCGTAAAACGTCATTATCTAGGACCACTGGTCTTTACCGACAATGGATATCGGAGAGATTGAAATCGTCCGGTCGAAAGTTCGCGAACCAAAATTGGCACTTGCGGACAAAAAAAGCATTCGGGTAAACACCACAAATTATTTTGGCGACTGTGTTTGCACTGTTTGCATTGCAAACTGCATACGAGATACTGTGGTAAACACGACTGCCTTCCGATTCCCTTTCTCCCATTTTTCGGTCAGAATTTAAAAACAAAATTCATAAAAAGCTATAAAAAAACAGGACATAACTATTTGATTCTGACACACAGTCCAAGTGGAGTAGACACAGACATTCATTTAGTGACACTCAAACTAAGATTATAAAAACAGAATTACTTTCTGGCACTCCAAATAGTTAAGTTGGAAAGTGTGCCCGGTTATCCATCTTTCCGGATACCAACCTCTTTGTAGAACGTGAAATGTAATACGCAAGGACTATTGTTTGTAATGCGTAGTTGTTACCTCAGTGAGGTCTAATTTTGCCTAATTGCATAGACATCATCAAAGCTCAAGCCTGCAGATGGAGAATTTGTAAGTGCTGGATGTTTGAGTTAGGCAATGTATATATTCTTAGGTTTGGCACAAATTCGCTTCTTTCGTTCTTAATTCGGTCGCCATACGGATGTCCAGCACGAAAGTCAGCGGTAGCAAGAAGAACCTATGCAGCAGCGTTTCACGTTCGTCATATCAAAGTACCGCATCGGAAAGTGCAACACTTTATAGTTCAGTCGGCTTTCCAGACCACAAACCTCCGCCTCAAAATAGCCCTGTCGCTATTAGTCTGCGACTGCTCTTTCAAAGCTAACCTTCGCTGAAAGCACTTTTCATCACTCGTCACCCGCTGACGTCCCAAGTGGCCAAGAATCAGACCAACAGGCGACGGAGACCAAATGCCGAAAGTTAGAGAAACACTTCCATTCCATGACGGACTATGTCTACCCCCTCTTCTAATCCCCCAAGTAGGTAACGGGACCATGATAGGGGGCTGTAACATTGAAATCCTGAGGCGGACGACGAGGAAGGTGTCCAAACCACCGCAGTCGTCTTTCATGAATGGCATGAAATGTGCTTGTGATGTTGTCGCAACGAGTGCGGACTATCTCATCTGAGACGAAGTCGGTGTACTTTACTCGAAGGATGGTCCTCAAGCAGTGGTGATCAAATACCTCCAGTTTTCGCTCCTCCTCCACGCGCAAAGTCCAGCATTCCCAATCATAAAGAAGGACACGCGCGAACCTTGGTAGTGATGGAGATGTCGCTTCGGATTCATAGACATTTACTAAGGCTTGAGAAAACCCGGCGGGCAGCATCTATTCGGGAAACAATGTCGTCCTTACTCTGCCCACCCGGCAGCAGCCTCGCTTCGAGGTATTCAAAACTGTCTGCTTCTCCAAGTTGACAGCCATCAATCCCGAGAGTTGTCCTATCTTGGTCAGCGATGCAGCTTGGAAACACTTTGGTCTATTCAGCGTTTCTGGTGAACAGACCAATTTAGCGACCTGTTTCACCTGTGACTCCATCAACTGCAAATCACCGAAACTTTAAGTTAGTAAAGCGATATCATCAGCGTAATCGAGACCAATCAGCCGGCAGCCGGGTTCAAACTCAGCACTGTCCCCTTCGAGTAGGGCCCTCCCGAGAATCCAGTCAATAGCGTAGTTGAACATAGTGGACGACAGGATACAATCCTATCGAACGCCAGACCGAATAACGAACAGTTGAGAAAGGTTGTTGTGGACCAGAACTCGCGCAGTGGTGGGGTGATAACAGGCCTTGATCATGGCAATGATGTTTTGCGGTACGCCATCTAGTGTTATTAACCGTCACAGGGACTCTCGAAGGAAGGAATCGAAGCCGACGGCAAAGTCAACAAAACAGACAGCAGTCGGTTGCTGG